TCTTACAGTTCATAAACTCTTGCATCCTACCTATTCTTCTTCATTGTTCACCCTTATTCTTTCCTGGTTTGCTTATAATAGACTATGTCACACTTCTTGGAACTCTGAAGAATGTCAGTAGGGTGCGTGGCATCCCGTTGGGCTATATCGTTGACATCATCATTGATAGGCACTTGATTTCCTGCAGAAAATTTACCAAAGGAATTTTTTCAGACTGTGAGCATCCAATTTACTCGCAGCTTCTACCTTGCATCTCCTCAGGTAGAACAAGAAGTAACTTCAGAAAACTGTATGTTCGCACGTCTAAGTATAAAAATTCTATGATACCATACTTGGCACGTATTTTATGTGATGAAAATAGTGTCAGGCAAGAATTAACTAACCTTTTTTCATCTAGTAAATAAACAATTTCCTCCATCCATCCATCTTTATATACCTTCAAGTTTTACTTTTATTATTTCTATTATATTTATGGTCCTGTTGCTTCTTTGTTTTACTTTCATAATTGCAAACACCAACTTATCTCTATGACTGCTGTAATCTTTGGTTTTCCCCTCACCATATCATGTAAGCAGAACATTATATTCACTATTTTTTAATCATGCAAGGATTTGTATACCGCATCGACAATACTGTGTGAAACAAGCCCACGGCAATTTCCACTTGTATTATTGTCGTTACTTTAGCTGCTATCATTATTATTATTTCCATTTTATATGCTGCATGTTTTTTGACATTACCCCTATTGTAAATGTGGAAAATTTTCTGTGTGATTAATTTTATTTATAATTTGAGGAAATTAGATGCAATATTGTGATTAATGCTGAAAATTCCATTCTGTATCACAAGTACTGTCTTTGGAATAAAGTAAATTATTATTATTATTAAATGATCAAACATCGTCGAAGTATCCACACAAGGAGCCAAAATGTCAACCTGATTTCAAGCACATCAGCGGGCAAACAATCAAAGGAAAAGACCAAATTACTGACACCTGTTGCACAAGAGGTGGCTCTCGTTGCCCAAGTGGTCTAGTGGATAACCCGCTTTGGCGTCTGAAACGATGGGTACCGGTGTTTGAGCCTCAGTGGGAACGCTGTCACTGATTTTACTGCGGAATGCGGGTACATCATCTAGCTGACATGCCAGTCCCAGATATGTAGAAATGAGTATCCTGGATTCCATTACAATAAACAAGTACTCTAGAATTCTTAAAATTTGCACTTTGTACAATAGTTCACACGGCCGGTTTAAAACATTAGATACTATATTCACTAATCAATATTTTTATTCACTAAGATAGACATCGTGAAAACACACAACTCTCGAACGTTTATTTCACAATGAATTCCAAAACAAATTTATACCTGACCTTCAATAATGTGGTGTGTGTGTGTGAAATAAAAATCATTAGAAATGATTTAACTCCATTTAACTTAGCCTAATGGTAATAATATAAAAATGTACCATTTTATTCACACTAGATATAACAAACATTAGATGCAATCATATGCTTAGCTGTCATTTATGTGACTATATGCATATGCAAAGCCCACATCAACATCCACACACACACACACACACACAAACATCTACAAGTGATTACCGGAAGTTAGGCAGCATACATACCAAACAAGTAAAATGCAATGCAATGGGTTCGCTCAGTTATGTCTCTTATAAATCAAAACTTGAATTCACAAAAAGAAACATCTACTAGCAATCATTATCGATTGAACATTAGTGTTTCAAGTGTCAGTTTGCAGGGATTCGACTGGTTACACGATTTCATCGTCAACTGAAATCAGATAGAGTACCATTGAAAAACAGCACACATACCCTGGATAGCCAGTTGTTTCGTCAGACTAGTTTGTGACTTTCATCAGTACACATCCACACACCACTGTCACGGTTCGAACCCACGACATCTGGGTTACGAGGCAAACTAGCTCGTAGGCCATCCAGCCAATGACACCCTACTTCTACTCCTCAATGGCCACCAGCCCAGGAATTCAAACTTCTACCAATGTGTGACTTCTTCTAGCGCAAATGGAACTAACAGATGTCATCTCTGGAGAGCATCTGTCCTCACACCCCTACGCGCTACACCCCACTAGTCACCAACACAGTCTTCATTGATTTCATACAACCGGTTCCCTTTATCAGTTTGAATAAAGAAAGAAGGAATATATTTACAGGATTATACAAGTTCGTTTCATTTCATGGTTTCTCTTCAAGTAGGTACAGCCTAAACAACAAAATCAATTCTATGTTACAAAATGCTGTCTAGACACATTTTTTTACAATAACTTCTAGTCATAGATAGAAAGTATAGGCAACAAAATTTCAAAGATGATGTGAGTGTATACCATTCAGCCACTGGGACCCGACTCCTCAATGGCCACTCCATGAATTATAACTTCTACCAATTCGTGATTTAGCGCGACCCCAACCAATTATAGAAAATTAATCTAATGCTCGCTAGTGAGTGACTTGATACAGGACGGAGTTTCCTGGAGTCAGTTCTAGTGAGAAGTCGTGATTAGTGAGGTTCATCCAGTAGGGAGCGAGGATGCATTTCTCACCAATGACATTGGTTGGTTCCAGTTGTGCTAAATGCATCACGAATTGGTAGAAGTTAGAATTCATCGGCTGTGGCCATTGAGGAGTTAGGTCCCAGTGGGTGAATGGTATACAAGCTAGCTTGCCTTGTAACCGGAAGGTCCTGGTTTCGAAACCCGGTGGGTGCTTCCCTTTGAAGAATCCCAACCTAGGATGAAACAGTTGTCCAGTACTCCAGTACTGGTTTTCAAATGTTCTCTAACTGATATCAATCCGTGGTCAAACTCGTAAAAGCAAAGTTAATCCTTACAAACCAATTATAGAAAAATAATAACGGCAAAGTTAAACTTTAAGCACCACTGACTACTAATCAGAGGATAACCTCGAACGCACCAATCACGTGAAGGGAGAATTTTTGTGTATGGAATACACATATATTTATGGAAAAAATGCATAAAAACTGTATAAAGGTGTTACAGAGGATACCTTGCTCTCATATGTAATAAAAATAGCTCTCAGTTGTAGGTTGGAGTATCAACAGAGTATAGTTCCATTGTGGGTTAAATTTATTTTTATAAACTCTCATAGTGTTATGCTGTAATATTTCCTGAGCAATAAATTGTGCTCGGAAAGTCGTCATCAGTAAATATTATGCCGTGAGAATTTATCAAAATAAATTTTACCCACAAGGGGATTATACTCTATCACAGTACACAAGTCCTATTGTTATATCAACAGAGAAATTTAACCACATTCTAGGCATGTAATTATTAAGGTGTTCTAACCGCAACAATAACCCTAATCTTTCCTGAACCTAACCCCAACGTGAAAATATCCCTAAACTAACCCTAATGTCACCTTTAATAGATTGACCTAACCCTTACTTGTCCTTCGCTTAAACCGTGACTTAATCTTTCCCAAACCCAAGCTGAAACTTGCCAGGTATCCCATTTAATAGCATAATATAACACTTCGATGGGCATATTTTTTATTGATGATGGCAACATTATTTGCCAGGTTTCACTAACTTACTCAGTGAGTGTTTCAAGGTCGTTGGTGCGGTCGCACTCCACTGATAGCTAGTGGTGCTTAAAGTTTAACATGGCCATAATATATAACAATAATGGCCACATATAATAGGACATTTTAGTTGTCTCTAAGCTGTATATGTATGGTTCAACTTACACAGCACTGGACAAAGAAGTGAAGAAGAGTGCCAGGAAGGACAAAAGACAATTCTACGACAACCTGGCCACTGAAGCTGAGAAGGCAGCAGGCAAAAGGGACCTGAGGACACTATATCAGATAACCAAGTCTCTATCCGGGAAGAGATCAACACAAATGAAACCTACAAAAGACAGCCAAGGGAACCCAATTACCAAAGGAGAAAGACAGATTAAACAATGGGCGGATCACTTCAAAGGACTATTGAACCGACCACCACCTACAACCCGTCCAGTAATACCAACAACAGTACGTACACAACTGCAAGTTGACACCAATCCTCCAACGAAAGCTGAAGTCTTGAATGAAATCAAGCTTCTGAAAGCTGGAAAAGCAGCTGGACCAGATGGAATACCCCCGGAAGCACTGAAAGCGGACCCAGAGACGACAGCAGATATGCTGACTCCATTATTGAAAAAGGTCTGGAAAGAGGGAAAGGTGCCTACTGACTGGAGGAAAGGTTACCTTGTGAAACTACCAAAGAAGGGTGACTTAGGACTCTGCAAGAACTGGCGAGGAATCATGCTCCTGTCGACGCCAAGTAAAATTCTGAGTCGCATCATCCTGGAGAGGATAAAGGACGCACTGGATACAGAACTCCGCCAACCAGAACAAGCTGGATTCAGGAAAGGCAAATCATGTTCTGACCAAATTGCAACTCTACGCATCATCATCACAGAACAAAGCATGGAATGGCAATCAAACCTCTACCTCAACTTCCTTCATAGACTTTGAGAAGGCCTTCGACAGAACGTTGACTGCGAAGTAATTTGGAGACTACTCGAGTACTACGGCGTACCCCAAATATGCATCAACCTCATTCAACAGCTGTACGACAACGGCACATTTCAAGTGATCCACAACAGAAAACTCAGCGAGGCGTTTGGAGTAAACACAGGAGTCAGACAAGGGTGCTTATTATCACCAATGATATTTCTAATTGTGGTGGACTGGATTATGCGTCAGACAGTGGGAAACGAGAAGACAGGGATATCCTGGACCGACTTGAAGAACCTAGAAGACGTCCAAGGGTGACATGGAGGAGATCGTGTGAAGAAGAGTTGAAACAGTATGGACTAACATGGATGCAGGTGAAAAGTACAGCGGAAGACAGAAGCAAGTGGAGACGTGCAGTTGAAGCCCTATGTTCCACTAGGAACCCAAGGGAACAATAATAATAATATAATATAGTAAAAAAGAAAAGTATTGGTACTCACCTGATGAATCCAACTTAGTACCAGTGCCACTAGAATCTTCTGTTGTCTTCATAATTGACAATCCATCCGTCATATTTTTTGAGAGAATTCACTTTGACTTGCGTATATTATAATGCAGATATTTCTGTGAGTGCATAAAATTATTCCCCCAAAGAATCCAATATTCAAGTAGGCAGTCAGCAGAATCACTGAAAAAAAAATAATCCAGTACAGACACTGTCATCTGATTAAAACACCATTATTGTTCCCATAGTTTAGTTTAGAAAAGGAGAATAAATTATTGATTGATTCATGCATGCATGCATGGGGAAATTATCCTTAAAATGAGATTGCTCTCTTACTCTACGCTTTTCCCAGTTGCTTTTTGACCGAATATCGAAAACACACATACACACACACATACACAACAAAGAAAGCTGGGATTAATATCCCACATCCCTCTGCTGCAACTGGCCAATGAGAAATGCGATAGCTGGCAACAATCTCCTAGTCGATGGCACGTGTACAATAGGTCAGACATTTATGAGACACAGGAGGTGGAAGAGGAGGAGAAAAATCCCACCTTCCTTTCGAGTGTTTAAGCAAACATACACAGACAGACAGAAGGGATCGAATGACAAATGCAGCTTTTATAGCTTTTATGTGGTCCATTTTGCTTTGGGCATAAGATGATGGAGTGATATACTGACACACCACGCACACACACACACATTGACTCATTGATTAAATTACATCTTAGTTCTCATAAAGTTTTGAAAAGAAAAATCAGGACAGACTCTTTCTGTACCTGTCTGTCTACAGAAGCGCTAGGGCATTATCAATTTTGTTTTATCCTCAAACTGGATAATGCTGAATGATGATTGGACAATAACGAAGGCGCCTGATTCGCTACTGTTGGTATGGGGAGAATATTAATATTTAGAGAGGACAAAGAATTTAGATATGAAATTATAAATTACCTAAAACAATGATTCAGTATTTAAATTCCAAGGGAAAATATACAGAGAAACAAACTGAGGGAGTTGCCATGGGATCACCAATATCCCCAGTTGTAGCAGATATATTCATGGATAGGTGGGAAAACGTAGCGATTGAAACGTTCAGCCCCACTGTGCGTCGAAGTATGGTAGAGGTATGTAGATGACACATTCACTGTACTTAGAACACAAGATATAGACAGATTTTTCGAACATATCAACTCGAAGGTTGGAGCAATTCAATTCACTTATGAATTGGAAAGTCAGGAAGGGGAACTGCCAATGTTAGATTGCAGTGTAAAAAGGAAAGAAGATGGGAAGTTAAAACACACTAGTGTTTACAGGAAACCCACACATTCAAACAGATATTTGGACTTCCGATCATCCCATCCTATGTCAGTGAAAATAGGATTGGTGAAATGTTTAAGTGACAGAGCACAAAAACTAAGTAGTACCAAGGAAAATCTAAGACAGGAAGTGATACATATAAGAGAAGCCTTGAAACTTAATAATTACCCTGATAAATTAGTCAGGAAATATGTAGGGAAATGTAAAAATAAAATAAATAATGATAGTAGTGATAGTGATAATAATAATAATAACAATAATAATAATGACGACATGCAAGTCAAATGTGCGCAAGACAACACCAACAATAAGGAATCTAAATCATCAGTAGTAATTCCATACAAGGAAGGAACCTCGGAAACCAGCTTACGCAGAATTCTTAACAAGGCAGGAATAAAAGTGACTGGCATTCAAACTACCCACAAACTCAATTAGAAATAAGCTTTGTCGGTTAAAGGATCAATCCTGTGGAGCCTTTAAAACAAAACAATTTAGTTTATCTAATACCCTGCTGGAATGATTGTCAGGTCAAATACATAGGTCAAAGTAGTAGAACAGGGGCAGTCAGACTAGCCGAACATAAAAACCTAGCAGCGAAATCTAGATTGGTTGACCCGAATAAGATAAGAAATCTAGAGAATAGTTCAGCTATAGCACTCACTACATGCAGTTACACACAACCATACAATAGGATGATGGGATAAGATGACAGTTTTAAAATCTAATGTCACAGGGTGAATGGAGGGAGAGATTGATAACAGAAGCTTTGTTTATCGAATCAACTGAAGAGAGTACGTGTAATAGGAATGATTCAACACCTGTCCATCCAGATATCTGGAAAATTCTACTACCCCTACAACAAATAGGAGAGGACAAAGAAAACTATAAAACTCAAGTTTCGAAGTCGTGTGATTATAATTGATGTGATTATGAACAGTAATAAATTTTGTTCGAAACCTTGTCATCCAGTAAATAATACTGTTTCAATCACTGTGCTATATATCTAATAAACAAACTAATATGGAATTACTTACTACCACAGTGCCCAAGTTTTACACATATATTAATGATTCAGTACTATTATTATTATTATTTTATGACAAGAAGATGAATCTTATTTGAAGGGTGACAGATTGTAATGAGTCATCAATGAATTATTAGGTGGACGAAAAGTGTTATACGCGCTAAGTCAACAAACCACAGATTCAAGTGATCTCTCATACTCCCCTCCCCCTTATCGATTTGAACGTGACCTGAAAAACAGTGACACGCGTCGTTTTGAATGATTAATTCACTGTAGTTTATTTGCTTATCAGTCTTATATCTCCCGATGTATTTCCAATAGTATATATACATCCCTGTATGTAGGGTATTCAGTTGAAGAGTTCTGCCGAAATTTGATGAATTCATTAGATCTTGTTTACTTGAATTTTAGATTTTCCCATCGATTGAATGGACTGAAGTGCTCGGTCTCAGGTTGACATGTCCGTTGGCTTCTTGTGCAGATGCTTCGACGATGTCTTGGCATGCAATTAGAAGTTAATTGGTGGATGGTGAATAGCAGTGGAATCCAGGATAAAGCGTATTTCGTCCTGTCTGGGACTTGTCAGCTAGAAGTACCTGCATTCCGCAGGGAGTGATGGTGTTCCCGCCGAGACTCGAACCCAGTCCCATAGATTCAAACGCCAAAGCATTACCTATTGGGCCACTTGGGCCACGAGAGCCACCTCTTGTGCAACGGATCATATTAGTTATTAAACTCAATTTAAGATTTTCCCGTCGACTGACTGGACCGAGTTGCTCGGTCGCGGGTGGATAACGTTTTGGCGTTTGAAACTATGGGCACTGGGTTCGAGTTTCTGTGGAAACACTATCATTGACTTACTGCGGAATGCAGGCACATCCAGTGACTGACGAGTCCGAAATTGGACGAAATGCGCTTTATCCTGGATTCCACTGCTAGACACCGTCCACCAACTAATTTCATTAGATCTCTGCTTTAATAACCTTTGTTGCTGAATTTAAATTATTATCATGAGCTGCCATCGGTTAGAAAATCACTGGAAACCAGCACATGGTTACTGAACACCTCTGAGGTATGCGCCCACCGGGATTCGAACCCAAGACCATCCGGTTACCAGACGAGCTAGTAGACCTAGGTCCGGTGGCTGCGTATTGCTGAAGAGTTAGTCCCATAGTAGGCTGACGAAACATCTGGCTGTCTAGTACTTCAGTGCTTGTTCTCTAATGGTTCTCTAACCAATGTCAGCTCATGATAAAATCCTGTAACAAATCACAGATTCCTTGTATTTACACAGTGCATGTATTAGCGAATGAAGGTGTTACTTATTTTCCTAAATGAGGTACTTTTTGTCCAGTGCTATAGTTTAATTTACTAGAATTCAATAGAAGAAGAGATTAAGGTCAACAATCGTCATCATCAGCATCACCAGAAGTACATTACTATATTGTTATAATTCAGCAACAAAAGATATATTATTCAATAAATGAACCATTATAGTAAGAATTTCCATTTGTCTTTTATTTTATTATAAAAGCATTTTTTAGAACATCTAGGTAATGCTCCATATTAAATAATAATAACAAACAATGAACTCAAGTACATTAGGTCACATGGTATATTTCTCCCCATAGTCATATGATCTATATATATACAAGTATTGGTTTGTAGGGAATTTTTGTTTGATTGGTTACAGAATTTCATCATGAGCTGACATCTCGGTTAGAGAACAATTGGAAAACCAGCACTGGAGTACTGGGCAGTTGCTTCGTCCTAGTTTGAAACTCTTCATCAGTACGCACCTACCTCGCTGACAGGGTTCGAACACAAGACCTTCCGGTTACAAGTCAAACTAGCTCGTAGGCCATTCACACACTTGGACCCAACTCCTCAATAGCCGCCTGCCCATGAATTGCAACTTCTTCTAATTCACAAGATAGGGCGACTGACACTAATCAGTGACGTCTCTGCCGAGTATTTGCCTTCACAAGTCCCAGACTAGGCTGAAGAAACAGCTAGCTTTCCACTACTCCAGTGCTGGTTTTCTAAATGATATCAGTTCATGATAAAATCTTGTTACTTATTTTTAACTATCGAAATGAAAACAGTCGTTAATTTAGAATGAATCGAAGCAGGTTTTATTGACTTCCTTTTTCCGGCTGTATACCCAGGTACTTCAAATCACCTTGTCGTGAGTCGGTGGCTAGGGTTGTATCGCCTAGTGACATCCTCCTCAGTTGCATCTAGTAGATAATAAACTCAGCAACCAGGGTAAGTTGGTTGTGTATTATTATTATTGTTTCCTTTAATTCCTACAGGAACATAGGGCTTCAGCCGTGCGTCTCCATTGCGTTCAGTTCTCTGCTAGAGTCTTCACCTGGCTCCAAGTCTGCCCACACGCTTTCATCTCCTCTTCACATGACCTCCTCCAAGTCACCATTGCACTGACGACCAACTCGCCGCTTCCCTTTCGGGTTCCACTCGAGCAATGGCTTGTCTAGTGATGTCACTTGATGGTTTGTTTCCTCAGAATATGGCCAATCCATCTCCATTTCTTCCTGCCTATTTGTTTCACAATCGGTTCCTGGTTGGTTCGCTCATTGCCAGAGATCTCTGCTGCTGATCTTTTCTGGCCAGCCATCTGATCTTGAGTATTGAGCGAAGACAGTTGGCTGTTGATGAAGGTCTGTAGTTTGTTTGAGATGCTTTGTATGACGCGCAGTGCAAGTCTCTGATCCGTATAGTAAGTGGCACTGACTTCACATTAGAGTTGAAAATCCGGATCTTATTTTCATTTTGATGCTGAGTGTTGTTGACCTCCACACAGACTTGAGAGTAGTGAAAGCTTGTCTTGCTTTTCCGATTCTTGCTTTGATATCCTCGTCAGTTCCGTCGGCCTGTAGTTGAAACGATGCTTCCGAGGTAGGTAAAAGAGGTTGTTTCTTTCAGGTTCCTCCCATTTATGCTGATTGTTGTCAGTTGTTGTTGTTGCTGTTAGTGGTGTTGGCCAGGAATTTTCATCACCTCTGTTTTCTCT